TCATAGCTTAGAGGAGTACACATTTCAATACCAAGGCGAAGCTCTAGCTCTGTAGTAGTTTAGAGAAGAGGGAGAGAGTGAGGGGAAATCGAGGAAATGCCGGGCCTGGCGACACTCTCCTCTCTTATACCTCGGCTTGTGTTCTCTACTCGAGTAAACATTTGGAGTTCTTTGTGTTCTATGGTAAGCATTGAGTTAGTATTTACTTCATTTATTTATGGGTTCATTTCTCAAGTATTTACTTCATTTATTCATGGGTTCATTGCTCAAGTGTTTGAGTGCTCTAGTCTTAGATCTGGATTAGAGTAGTGATCTTTTGTGTAGTAAGTGTGGTGCTTAGACTATAGGTTGCCTTTGTTGTGGTAGGTAGCAGGTGATGACAGCCATGTCTATCCTCTGTATTCCAGCACGTTCAGTATGTTTTTAATCGTAGGGCCCCATGTTGGAACAGCTTAGCACCCTTCTCAGCCCTTTGTGCTGCTAGCTGGGTCAATGTCCCGAAGTGAGTCCTGAAGTTTATATATCTTTGCTTAATCCTTCACCATAGTCATTCAGAACCTCTCTACCCACAACAACTACCTCTAGTTATCAGAGGACCATCTTGTTTCTTAGTTTAAGTTTATTCACGTTCTCCGTGGAAATTGGTACCTTGAAATACTCCTGAATGAAAGCTACTTTGACAACCATGCGCTTATGGTTTATTCTATTTGCCACCGTGGGTGCCAACACAAGGCACAACAGCAGTGACACTGCTGGTCTAGCAGTGGAGGACAACCAATGGGTAGGGTCGGCAGTGGGGGCGACCGATTGCAACATTAATGAACGACGGTGTTATGGCTGCAGCAACGGAAGATGGTCAGTGAGGTTGCTATTGTGGTCGCTAGTGGCCTTGCTGGTGCTGGAGGCCGGCGGCAGGAGGTGGATGGTTGTGGAAGAAACCACAAGGGATAGGAAGAGGCATGGAAGAAGAAGCGACATGCCGCTAAATGAAACAACACGTGCGCACCATAAATGAGTTGGTGAATAATTTATCGAAACTTACATGGAGAACGTATATTTTAGTTTTCTCATATTAACATCGTAATTTAGGGGCCTTGTAGAAGGATGAATGTGGAGGTTTCTTTTTAGCCAAATACTAAGGTAATCTATTTTGTGAGGTGAGGTGAGGTGGAGTAGAAAATAATTAATTTGGCTTGGATTAATTTAGAAACCTGATGTGCCCACAGCCTGTTCGGGAGGCCGTATCGTATCGTGGATTATTTACTGCTGGCTGGTTTGGTGTGAGAGAAAAACACTGTTCCTGGCTGGAAATTTACGATCGTTTACGAGCAAGCGAACGGGCTGCCAGTCTTTGTGGGGGTTTCATGTTCCAGTTTCCAAGAGTGTAATGTGATAGAAGCAATATAGAGAAGTTTCGTCCCCAAGAAACTCATTTCATCCGATTAAACTTTTGTCATCTCTCTTCATATATACTCCCTCCGTCCATAAAAAAATACAATTCTCACATTTCAAGAAGTCAAACAGTTTCAACTTTAACTAAAATTATATTAAAAAGTACTAACATTAATGAGACAAAATAAATACCATTAGATAACTATAGAATATATTTTTATAATAAATTTATTTAGAGACATAAATGCTAATACTATTTTTTATAAACTTGGTTAAAGTTGAGCTAGTTTGACTGGCACATTTTTCCGTAATTATATTCATTTAGAGACGGAGGGAGTACTATATCATAAGAGCTTATTTAATATCTTTGAAACTCTCGACAAACTATCACACTGGCCTTCAGGGCTACCGATGACGCGTTTTTTTGCAGGAGGGTGGGTTGCAATCATGGTTCGCTGGTGCCTGTCAGTAGGATGAAAATAGTACGGATATTTTTCAATCGTATTTGAGATCGAATCCGTTTAAAGGGGTTTAAATCTGTCCGTATCCGAGTCCGGATATTCAACATCCGATACCGTATCCGTATCCGAATACTCAAATCGTATATTTATGATGTCGATATCCAATCGTATCATATCCAGCATGGTTGACACTATCCGTATTCGAATCCGAATCCAGGTAGAAATATGAAAACAAATGTAATATCAGTGATATCCGTCCGTACCTGTCAACCGTCATGGCCACTCGGGACCTGCCTGCCGCATCGGTGTGTCAAATTGTTAATCAGACGACGGCAGGGATGCTTGCTATTCGTGGGACCCGACTTATCGTATGAGATGCACAGAACAGAGCACATGAAACAGAGCATGCCGTCACTAGTGCCCTGTCCCAAAATAAATCTCTAGCAATCATGAATGCAAAGACACCTGTTCCAACCATTTGCCTATACCAATATCATCTAGATTAGAATACATGTAAGCTGAGTATTTGACATAGATGAAATCTAGCATGCATGAAATATGACAATAGCATATGCTTAAAGGGAGTCAAAAGAAGGTAACACATAGTAGCCCACGATGAAACTCCAAAGACAAGAGAATGACCAATTCCTTAGTCCTTACTGCACCCTTGGAAAACAAAGCAAAAAAAAAAAAAGGACAAGTGCACGCAACATCGTTGTAGTACAAATCGTGATTGGTTGGTCCTTCAATCCTATCAGACATAGCCTTTTAACAGATATAGTTCGTTTTCTACTCCTATATATTAAGCCACCACGCCACAAGCCCACAATACCATCGGAACTATGAGGCAATAGCTCAAGTAATGTAGAGAAGTGCTGCAATTTTGTTCAAGGTTAGAAACATGCTGAAACAATTTGCTATCGGCACCCGAGTTCTTCCGGCTCCATGCCGTAGAAACCCATATAATAGACTTATTGGCTCAGAATCTAATGAACTGCAGGAGTGGACGAACGAGGGGATTGATTACCTGAGAGGGCCGACCAACGCTGAGGGTACCGCCGCCCATGATGCTCCTGAACGGCCGTCTGCTGGTCTGCCCTACTCGCAGTAGGGGCTCCCCGTGCTGTCGCACTCCACACCCAAACCTGCGGAGGGGATGAGCGTCGGATGGACGGGGGAGGAAACGGAGAAAGGGGAGGAGTGGCAGCGCCAATGGGGAGGGGATGGGCATGAAACAGCAGCATGCCGTCACTAGTGCCCAGCGAAGTAGTCTCATTGCGCTTGGCTGTAATCTTTTTGGAAAGGGAAAAAAAACAGAGAATGGCCAGACTAGTCACCATGCATACCGGCATCTATGTATGATGACCATAGCCACAAGCTGGAAATTAACGCTCTAACGGCTGTTTTCTTCTTGTTCGCCAAACAGGATAGACTCCCGAAGATCCATGTGACCATACATAACGTGGAATCAATTCAGTGTACTAGAAACAGAGCAAATGAATTTGCTTTTTGAGAGCCACAAGTATGCAAACCAATTGCACTCAGCAGGAACGTTAACACACCCTACAATCTTGTGGACAGTTACTGCTTTTTTAATTATTTTTTATTGGTTATTCTATTTTCTCAGGTAATTGGAGAATGAGAGCTTGTCATATTTTGAAATTTAAAATTTTGAACTGTTAAAAAAATTTGAATGAAGAAACGACAAAAACAAAAGTTATAGATCTCAATGAGTTCTACAACTCTGTTGTTGACAACCTTTTTATTTGAAATCAGTTACTGTCCCAAAATTCTTTTTTAAAAGTTCTCATATTTTGAAATTTAAATTTCAAATTATTCAAACAAAGTCGGATGGAGAAATGACCAAAACAAAAGTAGCACATCTCCATGAGTTCTACAACTTTGTTGTTGATGACTTGTTCATTTGAAATCATTTGCTATCCCAAAATCTTGTAACTAATCTTATGAACAAATACAGTTCCCCTTTTTAATCTCTCTCTAAAATTTGTAACTAGTCTTTCTCCCTCATACTAACTTCAAATGTGATGATTCTTTTTCCTAAAAGTTTATAAAATCATGATCTCTCAATTCATGGCGTTCTTGCTACTTTTTTATTGCTGTTTATTGGTCATTTTATTTTTTTCAAGCAAATAGAGAATGATCGTTGTGAAGTTACCTTACGAAAAATGCCTTTCATAGTTTGAAACTTTTTTAACAAACAATAGCCTATATATATGTTGCTGTGGAGGAGTTTCAAAAATTTTAGAACTTGTTTGGTATTTTCTAACATTGAAATGAATTTCTGCGTGCTTACCGAAAATAATTCCAAATTGAACTGTGCTTACTTCCAATAAGATTCATAAAAATTTATAAAAAATATATTTATGCTCATACATTTGACTCTATCCTATATTCCAGAGTTGAAGAAAAACATTTGTTTGCTAGGAGTAATTCATCATTCTATTTCTAAATTACCATAAAATAATTATAATAATTCTATTTTTTTCACAGAAAATTTTATAATTTTTCATGGTGACTTGTTTTTGTTATATAATCATTACATAAAAAAACTTAAATGATTGTAACAAGGTGGCAGTATACATTGTTCACAAATTAATAAATGAAAAAAGTTCATTTTTGGCCCTCCAACTATGGCTGCAATTTTTTTCTAGCCCTCTAACTCGAAACCAGACACGCGCAGTCCCTTAACTCTCAAAACTAGTTAAAATTGGCCCTCACGTCCATTCGACCACGGTTTTCGTATAGTAAATCCGCCACGACCCTGCTTATCAGATCTTTCCCTCTCACCGTCAGGTTAGGACCACCTGTCACCCCCCTCCCTCTCTTCGCGACATTCCTTGCCCGTCTCTTTTACCCAGGCGCCACAGCAGCAGCGCCAGCAGGCGACGCCGAGCGCGTAACTCCCGGCTCGCCCAGCCAAATCCGCCGCCGCCCCCTCTTCAATGCTCTCCCCGTCCCCTCCTCCATGGCCGCCGCCGCCGCCACCCACCGCCACCACCACCTCATCCTCACCATCACCATCCTGCTCGCCGCCAGCGCGGGGCTCGTCCACGGAACCACGCACCCGGCGGAGCAGGCAGCGCTGGATGACCTCCGGAAATCCCTAACGAACCCGGACGCGCTAGGATGGCCGGACAACGGGGACGCGTGCGGTCCGCTCGCGTGGCCGCACGTCTCCTGCGACCGCTCCGGCCGCGTCTCACGGGCGCGCTCCCGTCGTTCCGGGGCATGTCCTCGCTCCAGCGCGCCTTCCTCAACGACAACGACTTCGACGGCATCCCGGGCGACTTCTTCGATGGCGGGCTCACCGACCTGCTCGAGATCTCGCTCAGCAACAACCAGCGCCTCAACGCATCCAGCGGCGGGTGGGCGCTCCCGCCGGGACTCGCCGACTCCGCGCCGCAGCTGCAGGTGCTGTCCCTCGACAACTGCAGCCTCAGCGGCGGGATCCCGGGCTTCCGCGGCCGACTCACGGGGCTCCAGAACCTCACGCTCTCCTACAACAACCTCTCCGGTCCCGTCCCCGCCGCGCTCAACAGCTCCGGCATCCAGAGGCTCTGGCTCAACAACCAGCGCGGGGACGCCAAGCTGTCCGGCACCCTCGACGTCACCACGCTCTCCGACGTCAAGCTCTCCGGCAACCATCTCACCGGCCGGGTGCCGGACAGCCTCACCAAGCTCGCCTCGCTCCAGAAGCTGGACCTGTCCATGAATGACTTGAATGGGCCGCTGCACCCATTCAGTCCCACCGTGGATGTGAATGTCACCAGCAATCTCAACTTCAACACGACGGCGGCGCCGCCCGATGCGCAGCCAAACAACTCCCCTCGGGGGTCTCATTCTACGCCTGGCGCGACTGCTGGTGCTGGGGGTAATAATGCAGCAATCCCTGGGAGTGGGAAGAAGGCCTCATCAGCTGTGTTGCTGGGCACAACCATTCCAGTCGCGGTGAGCGTGGTCGCCCTGATTTCGGTGGGCGCCGTGTTCTTCTGCAAGAGAAGAGCATCAGTGCCGCCACAGGTAGCCTCTGTCGTTCTGCATCCCCGTAATAGCTCTGATCCAGATAACCTAGCCAAGATCGTCGTGGCCACCAACGACGGCAGCAGCGGCACGTCTCAAGGCAACACGCATAGCGGGAGCAGCAGCCTGACTGGCGATGTCCACATGATCGAAGCCGGGAATTTCGTGATTGCAGTGCAGGTCCTCCGCTCGCTGACTGCTGTGATTGTGGTGGGTTTGGATGGGGCCGCTGCTCGCTGACTGCTGTGCTGTGGCGCCTGCTCGCTGACTGCCCGTGAAGAGAGCGAGGGGATGACAGGTGGTCCCAACTCCCAACCTGGTGGTGAGAGGGAAAGGCCTGACAGGCAGGGTCGTGGCGGGTTTACTGTGCGGAAATCGCGGTTGAATGGGCGCGAGGGCCAATTTTAACTAGTTTTGAGAGTTAAGAGACTGCGCGTGTCTAGTTTTCGAGTTAGAGGGTTAGAAAAAAACTACAGTCATAGTTAGAGGGCAAAAAATGAACTTTTTCCTCGATAAATCCCTCACATAGTTATAAGTGAACAATATCAAGATTTACCAAGTTATGAACAATGTATACTACAATTTTGTTAGATGGAGAAATAACAAAAATAAAAGTTGTAGATATCGATGAGTTCTACAAACTTGTTATTGATAACTTTTTCATTTGAAATTATTTAGTATCCTAAAATTCTGTTTGAATTTCTAATATTTTGAAATTTAAAATTTGAACTGTTCAAACAAAGTCATATGGAAAAATGATCAAAACAAAAGTGGTAGATCTCGATGCGTTATACAACTTTGTTGTTGACAATTTTTCCATTTGAAGTCATTTACTACCCCATAATTCTGTTTGAATTTTTATATTTTAAAATTTAAATTTAAAATTTTTTCTAACAAACTTAAATGGAGAAATGACCAAAATAAAAGTTGTAGATCTCGATGAGTTCTACAACTTTGTTTTTGATAAATTTTTTATTTGAAATCATTTACTATTGTAAAAATGAACCTTAATTAGTCAAAAATAGAAAATAATAACAAATAGTAAAAGGCTAAACAATCTCTGCTCAACCCAAAGGCCCAAGGTCCAGCAACCTGATCTCCATCTCAACCATTGAATAGATCAAATTGACGGTTGAGATGAAAATCCTAGATCTGCTCTGAAAATAATCCCTCCTCTTCTCGAATGCGGCCACCCTCCCATCCCTTTCCCTGTGCAGGCAGTCCCCACTCTGACTCGACTCGATAGGCGATAGCAGGCGGCGGTGGTGCTCCAAGATGTCGCCGTTCTCGTCGGCGACAGCGGCGGCACTCCCGGTTCGGTCCTCCGCGGCTCGGCAGCTCTGCTCCTGGGCGGGCGGCCCTGCATGGCTGCGCCTGGCCCAACCGACATCCGCGCCCCCTCAGCCTACGTGCAAGCCTGAGCGTCGCCCGCCCCACCCCCACGTGCGGGCAGACCCCTGCGCGGGCGGGCGGCCGACACGGAAGCCCCCAACCCCGGCCACGCCCTGCGCCCCGCCATCATGCAACCCGAATCCGAAGGTACACAACATGTTCGGTTGGCTGGTTCGTATCGTTGCTGGTTCGTTTATGTGAGAGAGAAGTACTGTTGGCTGGTTCACGTGAATAGTAGCCATGTGAGGGGGCTGGCCAGCCAGCCCAGCCAGCCCCAGCCCAGCGATCCTTCACCCATCCGCTTCTGATTCCCAAGCATGCCCTACCTCACCCTTGCCCCTGCTTCCTCTGGCCGCCCGTTCCCTGCGGCTGCAGGTTCCCGTGCGTCCTGGGAAGGCTGCTTTACCGGCCAAGGGCGTCGTTGCGGCCGGCGTGGAGCCCAAGATTCCGGCGACCTGGTGGCTACATCTTAGCGCGAGAAGCAGGCGTCTGAGGGTTCAGGTCCGCCACAGGGTCATCGGAGTTGAGGCCGCTCCATGGACTCCCCTGCCTGGGCGTGAAGTGGCTAACCTTCGTTAACCCCTAGAGACTGTTTGTGCGCGTGCAGGACTAAAAACAATCTCGATCCCAGTTGCTGAGCAGAGGCAACGATGGCCAACGACACCGCTTCGCTGTCCAGGAGAGACAGAGGTGTGTGTTTTCCATGATCATTTTATTTGATATGTACTCCATTATGTCAGTTCTAGGAAGGGTATTGTGATTTGTGATGTGGTCTAGATTAACAGTCTTTCTATGATTTATGTCAGTGTGGTTTTCCGACCAACGATGCAGGCCAACAAATGAGCTTAGATTTCCAAAAAATACGAATTTTACCATGATTTTTCTGTGATGTATGACAGTGACGGTTGATCATCACCATGTTACACTACTTGGTAAGCCTTCCTCCTGTTCTTTTAATGCCTAATTCATTGAAATCCCTTTTTTACATCATAAATATGTGTATTAAAATCCATTCAGTCACTTAAGATGTATAAACTGGATAAGAGGATATCCCCCACGTTGCTTTCTTGTGCTCACCTCTAATGCGTTGATTTGAAGCTTGTGGATAATAATCCTGTGCCTAATTATCTGAAGCTTGTGGTTTCCTTTATGTGAATTCAGTGCTAATAATCTTGTGCCAAATTATCTGAAGCTTATGGTCTTCTTTATGTGAATTCAGTGCTAATAATCTTGTGCCAAATTATCTGAACCTTATGGTCTCCTTTATTACGTGGATTTGGTGCTAATATATAGCCCTGTGCCAAATATCATCCATGAAATTCTAATGGCATGATTCTTGAAACGAATTTCCAATTTAAAATCATCTGCATATGCAGGGAATTGAATGGGTTGCTTAGCTTCTTTGGACTGCATGCATTTTGGTATTCTGTCAGCACTTCCTTAATGAAACCCGGATCTGTACGTCACTGAACCATCAATCATACGGCTGAGAGTGAAACTGATAAATTAAGTGTGACTGTAATATCTCCGGAGATAGGGTGTGGGACCACCATTTGATTAGGGGTGTGTTTGTATCACCCTCTGATTATAGTAATAACTATATAAAATAATCTCTCTGTGTTCCAAACACTTTAGATTATGTCAGGTTATAACAACTCAACCAATAGATTAAATCCTATAATCCCCATATCAAACCTATTAGTAGGAGATTCTAGGTGAAACCAATGGCGGAGCTCGTCAAATTCAACGTCTAGGGCCACTAGCTATATAAAAGTATGTAAACCACTTGTAACCAGTCATCCTGTCACATATAAAAGGAGACCATCGGAATATTAAACAAATTTTACACATAACTGCATAATTTAGATGATATTTTTATCCCATGCCTAAATAAATTAATAACAAATTTGATGAAAACATTAATGCCAAAAAATTCTTTAACATTATCGTCATTCCTAACTTATATTTTTTTAAAATTTCTCATTAGGTAGACCAATACTATATATCTTCATAATTAAGAATAAGTATGATTCAATTTTATTAAAGTTTACACATTTAGTATTTTTGAGTATGTGACTGCATAAAAATTGAGAAACAAAGTCAGTACATAATTTTGATGCATCTTCATTTAGAGTTTCCTTGTAGGCAAAAAAAAACTGACGTGAAAAAGCCTTATGACTAACAGACTGTGAAATCAGTCTTCCATTTAATTCAATATAACAATTCTAGACTTCTACGCCCTGTTCACTTAACTTATAAACCATACTTTTTCAGCCAATAAATAATATTTCTCTCTCAGAACAAATCAGCCAATAACGCCGGCCGTCAGCGTCGGGAGGCTGGCTGGAGGCAGATAAGCTTTGGCTCCTCTGCCGATTGAGAAGTGCGAGCACGCCGCACGCGGGATTAGGAAAAGGCGAAACGGGACCTGGCTCCATTTCGCAGGCGATGGGCTACAAAAGACTGGGCTAGGCGTCCGCCTCCGGTGCTATCTGGCTGGGCCGACTAGGGCCATGTCATAATATTTGTAGCTGGGCCATTAAAAATAAAGAGGCTATAAGGGGGGATTTGGGCCATGCCTAGGGCCATGCAAAATCATCCTGTCACCGTGCAACTCATGCAAAGTCCGGAATAAAATTTTCTTTCCTTAAAAATAGAAGAATGGATAAAAATCGAGTGGTTAAAACTTAAAAGCCGAACACCCATCCATTAATTTTTATCCGTTCGGCTGTAAAAAGAAACCGCATATAAATTAATAAGGTCTAAGATTTTAAAAAAAAATCTGGGTTGATACAATCCATCAATCATTATTCTCTGCCCACGGTTTCAAATTGTAGGTCATTTTTATCTTTGCCTAATTCAAACTTTTTAAACTTTGATCAAGTTTACAGAGAATAACTGAATATCTATATAAGATACCAAATAGTTTCATTATCGAGAAATTATATGGTAGATTTAATAATACTAATTTGATGTCCTACATGTTGATCTATTCTATAAATTTTGTTAAACTGGGAGTATCCACTAAGGACAAAACTAAAAAGATCTACATTTTAAAACAGTGGGAGTAGCGGTTTAAGATGCATAAACTTTTTGGAGGAGACAGGGTTATTTAAGATGCATAAAACTTTTGGAGGAGACGGGGCTGTTAGAAGTCTTTGGATATTTATGGAAAGAGAAAGATGCACATAACAGTCATGCATGCACGAATGCATATAAAAGTAGTTTTTTTTTAATAATTCTTCACTGGGGCGTTTGGCTGTAGAAAGAAGCAGCTGCTCTAGCCGGCTGCAGCTGCTGCTACAATGGTTTGAGAGAGAACAAAAAGCAACAGCTGCAGCAAGGGCGGCTTCTTTTTTACAGCCGAACACCCTTGAAACCTCCCATCCATAAATGGTGTTCACCACTGGATTACAACAATGATACATGCCTCTCGTTGCAGTGCTGGAGATGTCAAATATCTCTTATAAAACTCCGAGTTAGAGCATCTCTGATGGTTTCTAAAAAATACTTGGTAAGTTAATGAGTTTTCCAAGTGACTAAAGAAAAAGTTGGGAGCATATTTGTTGACTTCCTCCAATGGATTCTAAAATCTCGCTCCTAAAAGATAGAAGATAATTTTGCTTCAGAAATTATAAATTATTTCTAAATCACCCTAACCACTTTTAATATTTTGTTTCTCTCTTATACATTTGCATCAAGAACCCTGTCCTACTCCTTATTTTTCTCCACGTCCTTCCACCTTCGGATTGGCTGATGGATACGCGCGCGTATATATCCGCGCGACTAGATCGATTTTCCCAAGTGGGGAAAGATTGGGAGTTGAGATAGGGAGTTATTGGTGAGCAGTGTTTTTAATCTTGCCAAAAAATCAAGATTGAGAGTGGGTTTTGGAAACTCTTGGAGATGCTCTTATGTGTGTCACGTAGTTGGGTGATCTTGTGACGAGGACATACAACTTTTGTATATGACCATTAAAGTTCAAAATAAGATGAGCTCGTTCTTATATTTGCATAATGATACAAGTAAGAATTTACTGCTACCTAATGTCATTATTTTCATTGTGCTTAGAAACAATGACTATAATGATGTCAACTTGGGACAGACGTTTTCTATAACCTATATAATAGATGGGGTGGTGTGCATACACCATGCACAAGAATGATCTTGATGTACATACTTATCCAAGCCCAACATTAGATTTGTTGGCAGCCTGACAATACATTATTTGGAAGGCCATAAGTCTTCCACCCAGAGTGCGATTGAAGTCCACGAGAACTTGATGAAAAGCTTATTTGATAAAATCTCAAATGGATCTGATCCGACCTTAACATCACATCGGAAAGGCCTCCAAATCATCACGACATGTTGCTATTGTTTCTGCTGGATTCCGCGGCATCGCCTTAGGCCTGGTAATCACCCTTGGATCCTTGGCCCCAGATGGAGAACTCTCCAACCATGTGGAGAACATCACAAGTATGTCCTAGGTCATACTCTCCCTTGGCCACCTCCTTAGAAGGTGAACATGAACATCCAAGCCAAGTTGGAGGCCAATCCGTATCAAGTTTGAGTCCATCTCGAACTCCAGGAACAAGCAACAAAGTAGATAATATTTCCAGTGGCATTGGTCTCAGGTTCATATTCCTTATCAGTCAATAGGAATCGTCAAAACTAGTGGGCATATAGAATCGGTCATGATGTTGCATCATCTTCTTTTGGGCCGTTGGACTATGTATCTTGTTAGAGTCTATTAGGAAAGGGTCCAAGCGGTCTTGGCCTCCTAAAAGAATATATATTCAGTAGCTGACACCCAAGTTATGGTCTGGGATTTTGCTTAGATTAATCTATCATTGAACAGTTTCGCCATTCATCGGTTTGTGAGACACCAACTCATGACCTTGATCTTATTTGCAATATTAGACTATGTTCTTGCTTGTGTTCTTGATTCATAGTTATGAATTAGCCTTTGTGACTAGGTTAACCGGGTAGTGCATAGCTGATAATCATAGGAGATATGGTTCTGTGATTGCATGGTTCGGATCTTTTTCTCCAACGGATTGTGTGTGTCAAAACTCCACCAAATCAATAGTTATCTTTACATGATGGAAGATCAGGCATCATGTTCCCATCATCTTCCACTTGAGGCTAGCAATCTTTTGTTGGGCTTTTTCTCCAATGAGGTAGCCATGGTTGGAAAAGAGTAAAACATACTAGTCAAAGGTCCTAATTTGGTTTTGGTAATTGGGTGACAACCTTAGGTGGACTAATATGTGTTCATGTGAGATACACATGTTCTTAGTCCACAAGTATACTAGTGTGAGCAACACATAAAGCCATGGGGAGAGGTGGATTGGACATGTTGCAAGTGCGATCAACTTGTGAGATGAAGGAGCTCATTGTATATGAGACATAACATGATGTCATGTGGCTGGGTGGATAAGATCAAGAGGTAAGGCTTGGCTACGAAGGATCGGGTTGCTAGTATGATGGGCAAGTCAGAGGATTAGGTGCGATGGACCATCAAAGTGGTGAAGCTAGAGTGAAGGACTTGGTGCCGGTGGACCAGGTGCAATGGTGAA